CCCTTAATAATCCCGAACGGTACTACGCCGTTATAAAGAAGTCACCAGAGGGATGCACGTGCACACACTTGGGAAGTTTGAAGCGTACTGAAGAAGATCGACACGCTCCGCGGCGTAGGGCGGGGTGGCGGAGTCGGGCGACTCTTGAGACGTGGGACAGGCACAGACGTAGAAGTGAGAGGGGTGCATGGAGCATATACGAGGTAAGACGAAGTGTAATCTCAATAGGGTCACAGACGGCACAGACCCTGAAATATCTGGTTTGTAGGGGTGTCAGTGGCAGCTCGTCGGGCGACGCAAGTGACGCACCGCTTCACCTAAAATTTCCGTTTGGTTGTGCAATTTAAAATTATTTTAAATTTTATATAAATTTTGTAATTTAGGTACAATTCTATATTGAAAATGTATTGTGTTTGTTTGTCTTATACGCAGAAATAAACAGAATAATTCCGCGGTGAAAGCCTTCTAAAAAATCATTGCCTTCGTTGAGCGCGAACATCAACCTCGTACCATACAACGTATAGTATACGCAAGTGACTCCTATTGAAATTGGTATGTATCTGCTTTTCTCCGTAGCTCTCCCTACGGCGGTTGTCATGGGAACGAGGCAGCCAACGCATGTGTAAACTACGGCCTGGGAGAACGAGTGATGCAAAAGTTGAAGCAGCATTCTCATCGTCATCGCGTATCGCCTGTCTATCGTGTGTAAACAGTTTATACGATACGTTGCCCAGTGCACGGTTATAAAAGGTTCTTTATTAATATTTGTTTTGTATCAATAATTTGTAGAAATGTTTCCTATACACGATCCTGTATGTATTTTATTGGAAATGCCATTTTCCAGATCGAAAATTGAGGACAAAAAAGATTTTTTAAATTGCGAAAGACCTGTACCTTCTCTCGATGTGGAAAAAAGGGGGAGGTCAAAAGACAAAGTGTATGTTCGGAAGTTTCGGATTGAATGGTATTCGGAGTATAAGTGATTGTGCGGATGTGTTTATTTAAAAAAACTTTTTTGTATGCCGTGTTTAATTGCGAGTGTAAAATCGGGCGTGTGGAATAAGGAGGGATTTAACAATCCCGCTTAACATCCGTATCTGTACCTATCATTAAGTCCACGAACCGAACTAATATTTCTATTTTTTATAAAATCTAAATGAAAATCCTTCTCGCCAACGTCAGTTTTTCGGTAATATTGCAAATGCAACTAAAATTTCCAGATTCATTTAAAGCCGTTTGACCTTGAAAATTTGAGAATTTTCGCCTGCGGCGCTTTTTTTTTTAGTCAATCAATAAATATGCTTCACCTATTCTCAATGTCACGAGCCGCCACTGAGGGGTGTTGGGGTATATGGCTACGCCGTCTTTGGCCTTCTTGTAGGTAATGTTTTGTATTGTCAGTAGTTTATGTATTCGTGTTCAGCGTTCCTATTTTCGTAGGATTAGTGGGGAGACTTGAGAGGGGGTTTGTTGGTCTGGTTTTGTGTGTTTTGTTGTGTGTTTGTAGTCGGTTTAGGTGTTTGGGGGCTCGTGTTGTGTTTTATGGTTTGTTTTGTTTGGTCGTTTTTTTTGTGTCTGGGGGCCTCGTTCTCGCTAGAGAACGTGTCTTTTTTGCGTTTGTCTGTGTGTGAGGAGGCGGAGGTGGGGGCGGGAATCTGTGTTTCGGGTGTATTGTGTCTGTCGTTTTGTTCGGTTAGGTTGCGTATTTGTCTTCTCATTGTTTTGTTTTCGTGTTTTTGTTGTTGTAGTTTGTCGTATAGGTCGGCGTTTGTCGTGGTGTTTTGGGAGGCTGTGAAGGTGGAAGATGCCCTTGAGGATGTTTACGTAGTCGTGGTCAGTCTGTCTTGTTTGTTTGTGTGTGTGTGTGTATGTGTTTGTTTGTGTATGTATGTATGTTCGTCGTGTTAGGGCCTCACCTGACGGCAGCGTACGTATTGTTTTGTGTCTTTCAAAAGAAAGGATTAAGAGAGGATCAGTGTAGATGTAGACAGATCATTATGTAAAATAGACAAAATATGGATATAGAAAATTATTGGAGTATACATACGCACGCACACACATTTTTGGAAATTATATAGTCTTTTGTCTTGCCTCAATGCCCTAAACACTTTACTTTGTGAAATGTAACCGTAAGACCGCCCTTCTTGTTAATATACCATTATTGGCATCAAATGTTTGATTGAAATTTTTGCCAATCATTTGCACTACCAAATCCATTTTCGGATAATTTTATATCTCGTCGAGATTGAACGTAAAAAAATTATTAGTAGACACTTTATTGCATTTTATGATGGGGAAGGGTATGTAGAATGATAATATCGAAAAACTAACTCGAAAGAAATGACGATAAGTTGGCAAATTGTAAATATGTGGCAAAATTACTTTTTTCCCCTTTTTTACTCCCATGAAAATCTAGATGACCTATCAGAAAATTAGTTACATATTTTATGTTGTAGATAATTAAATTATCTACAATTTAAGGCACCTGAATGTCAGATTTCACCAATATGTTAACTGTAAAATAAAAAACGAACGCTGAAAAATCAGTTTTCGAAAATTGCTCGTTATTATTGCAGAAAGCGATGGCTGTTGATTGAATTTTTTGCAGCTAATTGTTTAATTACTAAATGTTATTTTAGAAGTTAATATTAGAGATGATTGTTTCCGAATTGATCAAAAGAAACGTATCGAAAAAGGAAAATTTTTAAAAGTTGAGTTAAGTTAACGAACAAAGTAGGATGTTTTGTCACAGGGTCAGGCAAAAGCCGCTTAGGAATTCGCTATTTTTTTCATGAAATAGCTTATTTTTACGGTAATTAAAAAAAATTATATCACCTACGCCTCTTTATTCCCAACGTTATTTGATAGTTCGTATAATAAAAGCGTTAGCAGCAGTAAAACTTAACGTTAATGAACGGCTTGTGTGCGAGAAGGAACGCCAAGCGCGCGCAATATTTTTTATCTAATTCATTTATTTAACTTCTAAGCATTATTTGATGCAAAAAGAGCTAATTCCCGAGCGGATCCTACTTCGATAGTTGTGAAGAGCAACTTAATTTCAACTTTTTGAAATTTCTCTTTTTTAATACATTCTTTGAATGAATTAGAACCTAGATATCGTATTAACTTCTTAAATTAATGTTTAGTAATTAAACAATTAGTTGCAAAAAGCGAATGAAATTAATTAACAAATACCTGCAGCAACAATTTCATGGTCAGTCGAATCGGCGTTTGGCACAAATGTTGGTGATTGGATTATCCGTCTTTTATTTTACAGATAACAAATCGGTGAAGTATGACTATAGGTACCTACCACTTTAAATTGTAGGTAATTTAATTGCATACAGCATAAAATAACTAATTTGCTGATAGGTCCTCTAGATTTTCATGGGCAGTAAATAAAGTGAAAAAACACGTAATTTTTGCCACTTATTTGCAATTTGCCAACTTAGCGTAATTTCTTTTCAATAAGTTTTTTGATATTATCGTTCTACATTCCCTTCTCCGTCATAAAGTGCAATAATGCCTACTAATAGTTTTTTAATTTTTTCAGGGTTTATGATCTAATTTAATTGGATGGACTATATAAAATTTTTAGTTCGCTAATTATTTAAGCGGTTTTTATAACTAATTACAAGCGGACGCAGTCTCAGCGAGATTTTTGAGAGTCTCTTTTATTCAGCCCAGAAAATCAGGACCTTGTCTGTGTCACACAAAAAGAGCGCACAAAAAAAGGAAATGTTTCGATTCAAAATAAATCAAACTAGCGTGTTTACATAGGCATCAAGACTTACTATTAAGTTTAAATTTTTAATAAGAACATTTTACGAAACACTATTCCATATAAAACAATGTAAATCATTTTTTAATTAGTAACGTACAACAGATATTACATAAACATTGCAAAAAAGTGGGAGGTCCGAAAGACAAGAATATGGTATCTACATCTTTTTGGGGTCGCTGAATCCGAATCCGGTGTCCGTTTGACCCGATTAGCTCTGAGTTAAGGTCAGTTTAAGGTTAAATGTAAAGTAAACCATATATCTATATTAGCTGCGGGATAAGGTACTGACCTTAACTTAAACTGTTAAGGTTAAATGTAAAGTAAACCTATATATCTATACGTTTTTGTGGTTGCTGAATCCGAATCCAGTATTCGTTTGACCCTATTAGGTCTGCTAAATACTCTCAAGTTCTAAACTCAAAACACAAGTGTAAAATTTCTTCAATACGTTAAAGTAAATATGCTCTGGCAATGCAAGAATAGAAGAAAGCTCAATCAATATACGAATGATGCCTATTTGTTTCGTTTTGACCCCCAAAGTGAAGAAATTTATTGGTTTAAGGAGCAGACAAAAATATTTCACCAAGATGTTTAGGAAATGGAGCGTCGTGTCGGTACCAAGACAAATGGGATATAAACATGTTAGCCGATTACTGTTGGTCGTTAAAACGTCGGAGATTTACCGTTGAAATCGAGAAAATGTAAAAGAAATCCACTGCGTATATCTTTTGACAAAATAATTCGATACAATAAAAGTGAATAGTAGTCTCGATACCATAAATAGGAAAACAAAACATGTACCTTGAAAAACTGTTATCAAGAATCTCAATTGACACGGACTCATTGCGTAAATTAATGTACCTACATGGAACATAAACAGACACATTAGTTTAAAGCTTACTTAGGCTTATTGATACTAGAATTTTGTTATATCAAAACAATTAACTCGAGAGTCACGGGCTCAGAGTTAATGCTTTCTTTTTTTAAATCTTATTTATTATTCAAATTTCAATTGGACACTGGATTCGGAATCGGCGACCACAAAAAAATATAAATTGGTTTATTTTATTAGCAATTGATTCTCTACATTTGACCTTGAACTGACCTTAACCAGAGCTAATCGGGTCAAACGGCCACCGTATGCGGTTTCAGCTACCCCAAAAACTGTGGGACTGTGTTATCATTTATTTGATTTATTTATTGTTATTTTTTTCAGGAATACAGTGAATTGCTCCAAATGTAAAAAGGCATCTGAAGATTTTAATCACCTTATAAAATGACACTACTTGTTTTCGATAAATCAGCAACTATTTTTAAATTTTATAATATTGTTCCAATGCCTTACAAATATAAGTTTATATTACAACTATCTGTCATTATTTCATTCCACTCTTATTTAACACCTTTTCCTAAAATGTTTTCTAGCTTTGTACAGGGTGGTTGATTTTCGATAGTTTTATAGGGTACAGCCAAAACGGTGATAGATACAAAAAATCTGATATCGATGTCCCGTCCTCTTTTTTTTGAGTTTACTTCGCTGGTACCAAAAGGTCTTGGCTAACTTGATTAGTTTTAGATATACAGGGTTTTTTTGAAAAATAGCCCATTTACATTAACCTCTCTATCTCTCTCATTCAATTTAGAAGAAAAAAGTTTGCACATTATTTGTTCTATTTTTTATTAGGAAGCCATTGGCGTACTCAGATTTTTTACAAGTCGCACAGTTTCTCCGATATTACATAAACATAGGTTTTTTTAAATAGAACACCCTGTATTTGGCCATCCCGTTGAGTAGCATTTTTTTTACCTATTCAGCCATATATAATAATAGATACTTTTTATTTGCCTAAATGAAGAAAAATGCAAAAATGTAGATATAGATATGGGAACGTAAATGTAAACGAGTTATAGAAGAAGAGAAAAGAGAAGATTTTTAACGGTTTTTTCGATATATATCGAAAAGTAACAAAGCAATCGATACTTAAAAAAAATCAGTCGATAGATCTTTTTAAAACCTACAACTTTCTGATTTAAAATTTTTCAATAGGTGCTATATTTTTTAGTTATTTTCGAAAAACCGTTTTTTACAACTTTGCGATTTTTTTTAACCATGTTCGCCATTTTGGATCGAGTTTAAAGAATAAAAAACTCGATTTAAAATTTAATTTTCTATACGGTCATATTTTTTTTGTCCAGGTAATAATTTCTGTAAGCATTTCTCTATAATGCTTGGACTATAATTTTATTAAAATAATTCGTAAAAACAATACAAAATGCTGGAGATAATAGTAACAAAGTTGATGTTATTAAATTTGGTACAACTTATAAAAACTGTTCAAAATGACCACTGTTGTTTCTACAACAGAGGTTAATTCGCCGAAGAAAGTTAAAGGACACCTTTTCAGTTCTTAAGGGCTATTTTTTGAAACATTTATGGCATGCCTCCACAACTCTTCTTCAGTGTTAGACGTGGAAGTATACACTGTTGGTTTCAAAGTGCCACGAAGATAATAGTCGCAAGGTGTTAAGTCTGGTGAACGCACATGCCATTTAACAGAAACATTATCCTCTCTACCGACCCATCGACGAGGGAATCTTTGGTTCTTATACTGCCGGACATTTACAGTGGAGTGTGGAGCGTTATCATGAATAAACCACATGTTAGCTCTTAGTAATAACGACACATCTTCCAATAACTCGGATTTTGCAAAAACTCTAAATTCAATTTCCCATTCAGTCTATTGGGTAAAATAACAGGGCCAATAATAATGCTATCAATGATCCCAAATCAAACATTGATGCGAAATTAATGTTGATAATGTTTCACTTTCACAGCATGTGGATTTTCTTTGAGCATACACATGTTCATTGTGAATATTTATTATTCCGCTTCTGGTAAAACAGGTTTACTAATATTATTACAACATGGCATTTTGGAGACCTTTTGAAACGGAACAAAACCAAATACTGCCAGACAATATTGAATTAGTGGAATCGGTTGTTAGTGAAACAGATTTAGAATTTAAAAATAAAGATTTACATGTTCAATGATAGCGTCTCATATTTTGTAGGTAGTAAACACTCATTAAGAATTGGCAGGTACAATGACTTAAAGATCAAATCGAAATTACAGTCATACTACAAAATCAGAGCTTACTAGCACTTTGTTAAGTATTGTAATTGGATGGCAAGATAATGTAGACATTCAAAAAATATTTTTTTCCAAACCGCTCATTTAATCAAAATTCTACAAGAGGTCTAAAAACTTCCAAATGGTATCACCTAACAAATAAAAAATAGTTGTCATTATTAGAGGAAAAAGTTATGAACAGATATTATCACCATACATGAATTTTGTAGGAGTTGTAAGTTTTAAAAAACACTGTAAGTATAACACCAAAATGTGTAGATTGAAAGCAAAAGTCCACACCCCAAAAGTAATCAAAATCGAATAATACGTATTTGAGTTATTTACAAAATTCAGAATATTTTCACGAACTTTGACATCTAGCGGCCAAACGAAGCGATTTCGGATATAGGTGAATTAGTCTAAATCTGCCTATTTTGAGTCCACGAATCTGTGGTCTTCCGTTGTACACGTTACTCTGAGACACCCTATTTAATCTGTTCTACCTGTCACATCTACTTCATGTTTGACTTGTCAGTGCTGCGAGAAATCAGTTTACCCACCAGGCACAGACCGGTTTCGGACTTATTAGTCCTCATCAGTGTGTCATAGGTGAGACAACCGACTAACGACCCAGCTGTTCTTCGTCGTATCATCACCAAGAGGAAATACATTGTACGACAGATGGAGCTATTGACTCCCGCGTACATCTACTTCATCACCCATTTTCAATGCGGTCAAAATTGAAAATTGCTGCGAAAGCAAGTTATTTTTTGCCTCTGGTATAAACTTCCGATCATAAAAACCGCGGCAGATGGGTTGTTTGTTTTTGGCCAATTTTACACCTTTTTCCGTCATACCATACACGTGTGTAGATGGAGTAAAAACGCAATACAGATAGCAATGTGCCCATGTACATACTGTCACGTCACACGCACCTTTGATCTCCCCAACCAAACCCGCCAAAAACTGCCCCGAAGAGAGGTTAAACACATATGTAATCATTAATCTGTTCTACGTGCCACATCTACTTCATCCATTTTCAAGGGAGATAAAGCCCACGATATACAGGCTGTCTACTATAAGGGAGCCACTCCTGTGGATCTCGCTTAATATACGAAGCAGGGCAAAAATCATTTTTGTTGCTTTTTTTGTACCGAAAAAGAGAATTAAGTTCCTCATAAAATAAAGTACTAAATACATCAAATAAACAGCAAAAAAATTAAAGGAGCAGAAAAATTTCCAAATTTTTTTAGTGATTTTTGGGAAGATTGTAACTTCATAAATAATGGTCGTATCAAGAAAAAGTTTGAAGATTCTAGTCAAGGAGCACGAACTCATACGGGAAAATGGGGAAAATTGACAAAATTTGTTAATGTAATAGTTGAAGTTACTTATAGTAGTAATTACTTGTACACCGACATATTTTGATTATTTATCGATTTATTTATTTAATTCAAAGTAGCCTACATTATTTATTTTAAAATTTTTAACACATCACAAAAACGGCATGATTGATTTTTAATTTAAACTACCGCTTTCTTTATCTTCCCTCTACTATTTCGGTGGATATGGGACACTAGCGTTCTCTAATTTGGAAAGATATGTGTTTACATGAAGTTCGTGCTCCTTGTGTAATCTCTATGCATACTGCGTTGACTAAAGACTTTTAACATTGCGAGGAAAAATATAGTTCGCCGAGTGACCAGACTACTGATACGCTAGTGTCTCTCTCTGTATACTCGTATTTTGGTTTGCGTATAGACTACATCGCTAGAAGGTTTGCGCTCTTTCATTTTTATCTCACTTTAATATGGATGTTAAAAATGGTGGGAAATCGAGCAATAAATGTATCCCCTATCATGGTGCCATATATGTATACAGCGTGTGCCACTAGTGCGGGAAAGTCCAATATCTATGTTAAAATGAGGAATATATGGATTTTTCTTTTTACTGTGTTGCCACATTTCTCGGAATGTACAAATTAAAAATATATTCAACTATACAGAGTAATTCATTTCACAATTATTACTGTCGCTTTTCTATTAATCCTTATGTGAATCGAAAATTTTCCAGATTATCATTTGACAGGAGCCTACTACGTTATTTTACATATAAGCTATTTGTAAACTTCGCATTTTTTCATAGAAATGAGATTTCATGAAAAACTAATGAATTTTGGTATAGGAGCAGATATAGCAAAGTTGTAGAGAATTTAATTCTGCATCTCGTGGTATGAAAATATACAGGGCGTTGCATTTAAAAAAATCGAGATTTTTCAAACAAAGTACCCTTTATTTTTTATGTAGAATCCGAAAAAAATATAAAAAATGTGTGTTTCCATTTAAAAAACCAAAGTTGGTGTCTGTCCAGGAAAAGTGGAACACCCTGTATAGTTGAATATATTTTTAATTTGTACATTCTGAGAAATGTGGCAACACAATAAAAAGAAAAATCCATATATTCCTCATTTTAACATAGATATTGGACTTTCCCGCACTAGTGGGACACGCTGTATACTGAATGTATATGCATAGCATGTACTCGTTAATGCTGAAAAAAATTCCAGGGGGCTGCAAGATGGCACTTTATTATTTGGTTTGTGAAATTCCTATAAAATACATAATTTGTCAATTCGTTTCCTCTATGAGTAGTCCTAATTTTTGTCAAGCCGCGCCATCTGCTGATTATAAATTATAACGGTGAGGAATTTCTTTCTGCAGAAGGTAACTGTAATACTTGTAACCTAACTGATGATTGTCCTAACGTAGAGATGACGCTGCCTGCTAATTTAAAAAATAAATCTCAAGGATCAGGCACTATAATTGTAGACAAAATCCCTGGGTTGAATAAAATTTTAATATCAGGTACAAACCATTGTAATCTCGAGACTTTCATTTCAGGAATTTTATATATTGGTTCAGGAATGTACTTGGACAAAATCTAACTGTCCCAGTCGAAGAAAAATCCGAGGAAAAAATATATTTAACAGGAAAAAATATTTTATTTTATTTCTGCTCTGGACATTGAATGAAAATAAGTAATTTAATTTAAACATATTCGATTCTAATTTATTTAATTGTTTGTAAATCAGGTATCTTCTTTTGCAAACGAAATCAATATTGTTAAATATGTGTATTCGATGGCATAGTTGCAGTGAGATAATATAAATTACATTTCCCTTCTCTAAAATAATAAAGAACTGGTTATCGGCAAGTTGGATAAGATAATTTTATTTT